ACTGTTCCACGTCTTCGCTGTATTCCATGTAACGTAGAATGGTTATAGAAATGGCCACCACGCTATAGGCCAGCAAAGTGCCAATGGATAGCAGGCTAACCAGCTGTGCCAGATCGAATAGACCCGCAAAGAGGGCCGTAAATAGAGCTGCCACAATGGAGCCTGTTACTGGCACCTGAAAACGTGGACTGATCCTGCCCAGAAAGCGAAACAGCAAACCATCCTGTGCCATGGAATACATTACCCTAGGCAGTGGAAACAATGCACCAAATAGACTGGCCAGCAAGCCGACCAGGCCGCCAATGGTAACGATCCACATGGCCACCGGCCAGCCCACATACTCAAAGGCATAGGGCAGCGGGGCATTGATATCCTGCGCATAATATGGCAACATAAGTGTCAGCACGGTGGATACTCCAAAGTAGCACAGGAATATGATGAGCAGCGATAGCAGAATGGAGCGTGGTATATTCTTGCGTGGATGTCGCACCTCCTCGCCCGTAGTGGCAATGCAATCGAAGCCCACGAAGCCAAAGAAGCAAGTGGCGGCGCCCTTTAAAGTGCCCTCAAAGCCAAAGGGAAAGTAACCGCCATTTCCTATGTCGGTGCCGTTAGCAACACTCGTAGATGCATCCACAGTCCAGTTGCTGAAATCAGCTAAAAGAAGAGAAAAGAAGAGACTATGTTATAGTTGGCGGATAGTAGGAATCCCCAAGAGACTCACCTTTAATGGCGCCAGCGATTATGACAAAGCCCAAAATGAAAATATTAACACACGTGACGAAATTGTTGGCCATGGCTGAGGTCTCCACGCCAAAGGCCAAGGCAACTAGAAAAAGAGAAATCAGTTTGATAAGGGGCCTTTCCTTAACTAACTGTTGCTGCGAATAACTCACCACCAAAGACCACAACCAAGCCAAAGGCGAGGAAATCAAAGTAGCTGCCCAGAAAGCTGACATGTATGGGCGCCACCTCGGCAAAGGTTTCCTTCAGCGTGTCATTAAGCAGCGTGTCCAAATAGAGACTGATGCCGCGACAAACGCTGGCCGTACCAATCACATACTCCAATATCAGATTCCAGCCAATTACAAAGGCCACAAACTCACCAATGCACACATAGCTGTAGACATAGGCGGAACCCGCCTTGGGCACACGAGCACCGAATTCCGCATAGCAAATACCTGTCAGGAAGATGCATTTAGGTGTATGTACATTTAAATGAAGCTGTTTGCCGCTCACCTGCCAGAAGTGATGCGAGCGCTGCTATGGCAAAGGATATCATTACCGATGGACCCGCCTGATCTTTGGCTATTTGGCCTGCCAGCACATAAACGCCCGCGCCCAATGTGGAGCCCACGCCCAATGCCGTCAGATCCCACAGGCCCAGAACGCGATTCAGTTTGGTCTCACCCTCGCTGCCATCGGCCGTTAGATTTTTGCGGCGTGTTAGCACCTTCCACGCCGAATATTGCTGAACCATTTCGGTATCTCTGTGAATAAAGGTTCATTAAACCTCGCGTTTCGTTTTGGGTTCTGTGTCTATAAAAAATTCCATCCGTCTAAGTCTTGGCTTAGAGTTCATTCATTGCAGCTGTAGGTGCCAAGATCATGCACATTAATTGACACCGCCATACTGGGACCCACATATGCCATGTTCCAGGCGCTTATCAGCACAACGATTTTTTTCATTATTATTATAAAATGCAGTACAAATTATTGAGCTCAAATTGCAATCATAGACAAGTCGTGGCAAATCAAATCGAGGCTAGGCCATTGTTCCTAGCTCGAAATCAATTGTTTTACTTGAGTCTGATTATTTACTTCTTATATGCATTATGACGCAGGGGCTGAATTATTTTTAAATCTAAAAGTTTAAAATTGTTGACTCTTAGAAGGAAGACAAATGAGTTATCCTTTCCCTGGTTTTACCTGATGCCAGTTGATTCTTTGTGAAAATTGGTCTCTTGTATAAGAATCTGCACGATTTTACATTCGTTTTGGGCCTGGTCCTCTTATCCAATGACTAACCCAGCTAACTGATAAGCATAGATGCTGAACTATTTGGTTCTACGCAGTTTATTTACATTTGTGCTTCCTCTTTAAAATTTTATATTCTTGCTTATAAAGATAATTAAGTGGGTCTAGGTGAGGCAAGCAGAATGTCGAATGAAGAGTTATGCGCGTGTGTTGGATTTATATAATAGTAGTAGCATATTTTAGATGTATATCTAATAATAAATTATTTTCTACATAGTTAATTAGTTGACTTACCAACTTTTAAACAGTTGCCGACTGCTGCAATTGCTGCAAACTCTGTCCAAATATTTGCTTTCTGCCGGCTGTATGAGGGAGGGACGGGCGGGTGTATGGGTGTTACTTCCAAGTATGAGTGCGAATACGAGTATATTCGATACGTATTCACAGTTCGCTGCCGACGACAACACAACTGGCAAAGTTCGAGCTCAAAATGCGTCTGGCAGGCGGACGTTGAGTTACAGCCGCGAATTCGAATTGTTCTTTAAGATAAGAAGACAGCAAATAGCGCGAGAGAAAGAGAGGGAGACGGAGCAGGAGAGAGCGAGCATCAGATACTGATAAGAGATACAAAAGCGCCGCTAGAGAAGTGAGCGAACGGTAAACAACATGAAAAACTACAAATGCTGCAGGTAAATACTTGTCAGGGCGAGCGGGCGACGCGGTCTGTTTGTAATTAGAGCGCCTATGAAAATTAACAGGTAAAACAAAAAAAGAAAGGAAAAAGATGCTGTGACTGGCCAGGTTTACGATCTGACGTGCTGAGATATCAACTCTCTCAGCTGTTGTTGTTGTTGTTGCCGGTGCCGCAGCTCGCCCCGCACTGGCCGCCGACTTCGAGTGTCATTTATTGTTATTTATGTTGTTGTTGAGATAAGATTTGTATTTGCCGTATTGATGGTTGTATTATTTCCGATCTGACGACGACTCGGCCTTAACGCCGACGCGGTTTAATTGCTTCGCTCCGACTGCAGCTGTTGACGCGCTCGCGGAATAACGTTAACTGAAACTGAGTGATAATAAACACTTGCCTATATGGCCCACAGCAGCAGTTGTTACTATAGAGACTGTAATGCAATATCAGTTAGCAGAGAGAATCCGAGAGCGAGCGAGCGAGAGAGAGCGAGGGAGAGAGAAAGAGCGATCGGAGAGTTTTAAAGTCTAAAGCTCTTAAATAACACTTCAACTTGCTCGTAAATATTTGTTTTATTTTATTTTATGGGTCAGCTAAAACGAGTTGAATAATATATATAGATTGCCATCAATTCCCTAATGCAGTTCCAAAAATAACTAAACTCTGTCCATATATCTTTTTCCATCTATTTCCAAATGTATTTTTATCAACATTTATAGAGTAATCTATATTAGATTTCGATTTTGTTTTTCTAAAATTTAATTGATTCACTTTGGCTGCCTAGATAAGACTTGCTGAAGTGCAAAGGCAATCTTTACATTCACAAGTGTCAAAGACATGCACAATAAGTGATTTTAATTAGTATATACTCTGTGTATGTATGTAATAAAATGTTTAATTTATGAATATGCTGATAATAACGAGATACCTAGACGGCATTTCAGTCAGGTCCGGTAATTTCATGTATTACGATTTGTATCATAAGTGAGAACTTCTACAAATTTAAATTGAATTGTTTTGCCGTTGACGCTTCAAAAACTGACGCAACAAATTAACAACCCCCTTGGGGACTCACTAACCCATACGCGAGCTTGTATTATTGTTGCTGAAACACAATTGTATCTCATATGTGTGATAAACGCCTCGCCATTAGCAACTATTAAATTATCTATAAACTGATTACGGGCATTATTAAACCAAGGCGATCTATGGCCGCTCCCAGCCGTTTATGGCTATGCGTCATATGGGATTATACACTGAGCGAATCAATCGAGTGCAAAATCAAAAGAGTATTTTAAAGCGTTGAATAATAATTACTTTTTGAACTGCCTTTAAAGTATGCTTAAAATCTTCTGATTTTTGAATCAAATGCCAATTTTATTGAATACAATTAAACTTTTTCGCTCAGTGTATTCGTCTCTCTGCGGATTACGCAGTAATAGTCATAGGGCAAACGATCAAAAGGAGCTATAGCATCGACGACACGAGTATGAGTACTCATACTCATAATCGTAATCGAATAATACATGTACGCTCCGCTGATAAGATACTCGAAATGCTCTTCACACTTTCACTCAGAGCACATGATACGATTGGGCGTATGCCAAGTGAGATGGCGCGGGGGTCTAAATCACGCAGCTCACGTTGTGTGGGCATTAAAATTTTACTGCCACCGACTGGCGCAGCTACCTACTAAGTAAATTCCCACACACACACAAACACACAGGCTTACAAAGCAGCATGTTTTTGGAATTGTTGTGACAGGGGGGAGGGGGGGCCATTGGAAGTTTTCGAAGAAAATGTGCGGAAATGCCTAGCACTTGTGGCTGAGATTGCAAATTGGCATTGCGATTGCCTTCGTTGTCGCCAGCAAATAGAAATAATCTAATTTGAATAATTAAGCTCACAAATTAAATGCCTCAAATTGTGTTGCTGCCTTCATTTAACGCCAGAATGACAACATATGAGTTTTACTTCACTTTTTATACCCTGAACCCATTGAAATCGGGTAAAGCGTGAATTTATGTTTTTGTGTAAATGTATGAAGCATGCAGAAGAACGTATCTCCCACTCCATTAAGTACATATGTTCTTGATAGAAAAGTCCGTCAGTCCGTTCATCCGTATGTATAAGCGCGTCGATCTCAGAACCCATAAGAGCTAGAAAGAGCAGAAATTTTGAATGTAGGTCCTTTTAGTGCCCACACAGTACAGATTCCGCTGCCTCGACTTTTGCTTAGCAGCCAATTTTTGGAATATAACTTAGTAGTCCTTCGCTTGCCTCCGTTGAGAAAATTTAGTAGGCGAAGCCAAAAGTCATTCATACGTTCAGAAATCCTTAAGCACGTTCACTTCAATTCATTTCGACCTGCTTTGTAGATCGATTTGTAGAACGTGCTGAAACATGACTGTTTCTTATACTGCAGAGGTAGCTACCTGCCGCCGTTTCGGCTGCTTCTGGAAGCTATTGGTCAGGTAAGCCACATTCGTTAGTGAATTGTAAATGATTTGTGATAGCTTTCGCAAACCACCACTAGATGGCGTGCAAGCATTTACAAAATAATTTGGGCTGATTTGTTGGCCTTCTTGTTCGCTTTCTATGCCATGGCCTTCATGTATCGCTACTTGCTCGGGGATGAGCACAAACGGTTTGAAAATTCATTCGCATTTCTCGCACATCTCAATAATCCCGCCCAACCCAATAACCTAGCACTTTTGAAAACATTGTGGACTATTGTCGCAGCTATGGAGCTCTAATACCTCTGTCCTTTGTGCTCGGTTTCTATGTGGCCATTATTGTGGAACGTTGGTGGAGTCAGTACATCACGGTGCCCTGGCCGGATCCATTGGCTGTCTATGTGAGTGCCCTGGTGCGTGGTCAGGATGAGCATGGACGACTAATGCGTCGCACCATAATGCGCTATGTTTGCCTCTCTTTGACCATGGTGCTGACTATGATATCGCCGGGAATCAAGCGTAGGTTTCCCACCTATGATTACTTTGTGGAAACGGGCCTGCTCAACAAGAACGAGGCATTAATTATAACAAAAATGGACGATAAGTTTCCAAAGCATTCCAAGTACTGGATGCCGCTCATGTGGGCTAGCAGCATTATGACGCGTGCCCGTAAGGAGGGGCGCATCTGGGACGATTTCTCGCTCAAGTCCATGATCGATGAGCTAAACAAGTTCCGGGCGGGCTGCAACATGCTCACACATTACGATATGATCAGTGTGCCACTCGTTTACACCCAGGTGGTCACACTGGCGGTCTATACATATTTTCTGGCTGCCATTTTCGGTCATCAGTACATCGAATTAAATGGAAAGCGGTACATCGAGTCTAACGAAAAGAACATTGTCAACTATTATTTTCCAGTTTTTAGTACACTCGAATTCTTCTTTTTCGTCGGCTGGCTTAAGGTTGCCGAGACACTTATTTGTCCCTTCGGCGATGATGATGATGACTTTGAGCTAAACTGGGTAATCGATCGCAATCTGCAGGTTAGCTATTTAATTGTGGACGAGATGCACAACGATCATCCGACCTTGGTCCGAGATCAATACTGGGACGAAGTCTTTCCCAATGAGCTTCCATACGCAGACGAGTCGCAGCGTCATGCACCGCCTGAAGCATCCACCGCCAAGCTGGACCTGTCCAAAATTACATCCTCACAAATACCCAAATATACACCGACTACTACCAGCGAGCGCGATTTCACTGATTTCGATGGCGAGGATGAAATCACCGAGCTGCGTATCAAGTTTGCGTCACGTCGCTTCAATATTCATCGCAGCTCTTCGTCCGTTTCCTTTGTCGATTTTAGTCCATTGGAACTCATGGATGACGACCAGGATGCCCAGGACGGCCAGGACGAGGGCGACGAGGAGGAGCTTTTGGATGACTTGCACGATGAGCCGTCAACTCGTGAGAGCAGCAAAGATGATTTTGACCGCCTGCGCGAAGAGCGGGAACGCGAACGTCACGCCAGGCAATTGCAGCATGCAGCCATGACCTTTGATCTGCTAAAGGGCGAACTGCATAACCTGTCAGAATCAGGAAATCAATCAGAAGCACTCTCGGCGATACAATCACCTAGAAGTAATGTGTCCATTCCCTCACAGAAGGATAAGACAATGCAAACTGATAAAAGTTTTGTTGCCAAGAAAAGCAAAGAATAATCGCATTGTGTTTCGGGCCGAGAAACTATAGTGCTCCATCAATATCAATATAGTTTTTTGTCAATATAATAAAAACATAGATATATTCGATTTCGTTTTGATGAAGGCTGAAATTAGAGAGTAAACTGAACGGGTGCAAAGAGCAGACTACATATTTTGTCTGCAATGTGTGTCTTCCAATGTTAGAGCCCGAGTGATCAAATTGGGAGTACAAAATAGCTCCTCCAAAGATATTTAGCCCACCTTCATTGAAAGGACTGGAAAATAATTCCGACCGATGTATATGCCTGCAACAATAAGACGAACATATGCAATGTTTCAAGATAGCCGTTAAGCTGAGAGGCTTCACATAGAAAGACAGACAGACTTGGCTATATTAAGTATACATACTGGGAGTCGAAGATGTCTCTTTCTAAGCGCGAACACAAAAAACGACAACTTCTTTTGCAGTCTTTGTTTAATAAAGGCCAACATTTAGGCCTTAGCATATTTTTCGGGAGTAAAAAAAAAATTTGGAAGATTAAAAGTTAACAAGTATGTTCGAAAATGAATATTACAAAACAAAGTAAATGGATTTTACGAGATTTATTTAAAATGAATAATTGTTCGTAAACGGTAGGCGTAGACAAATTTCTCAGTTTGCTTAAATAACTTGCCTGAAATATTGTAGGTTGATTTCAGTTGCTAACTTGATCTGATTCAGTCATGACGGTCACCTACACAGCTAACGTCGCCACCTCAAGGTTTATTAGTAACTTTTTGCGCTTATTATTCAGGTATATTCCTGTCAGGCTGTGCTGTGTTTTAAAGTGGGCTGACCCTCTTTTCGTGTTTCGTATCTGTCACAGATGGCGCGGCAGTATTTACAAGTTGGTCTGGCTTGATTTGCTTGTGTTCCTATTCTTGTATCTCTTATTGGCAGTATGCTATCGAACGGCAATGAGCGACACGGCACGCTGGTGAGTACTTACCTTAATCATCTAGCACTAACCAGCGCTTACCTCCTCGTCTTTAGTGGCTTTGAGGCCGTAGTTTTATATTGTAATAGCCATGCCACACTCATACCGTTGTCATTTGTGCTGGGCTTCTTTGTGTCGATTGTAATGAATCGTTGGTGGGCTCAGTATACGACAATACCGTGGCCGGATTCGATAGCGACGCTCGTTAGCTCCAGCGTGCATGGCTTCGATGACCGTGCTCGGGCCATGCGGCGCACAATCCTGCGCTATGTGTGTCTGTGTCAAGTGATCGTGTTCACAATGATATCGCCCAGTGTGAAGATGCGTTTCCCCACCTATGATCAAATCATTGACGCGGGTCTGCTGCAGCAGAACGAGAAGGATATCATTGAGACGCTGAATCTTCAATTTCCGTACTATCCGAAGCACTGGATGCCGATTGTCTGGGCCGCCAGCATTGTGATGCGTGCCCGTAGAGAGAATAAGATACGGGATGATTATGCGGTCAAAACGATTATCGATGAGCTGAATCGCTTTCGAGGCTTGTGTGGATTCCTGCTGTACTACGATTGGGTCAGCGTGCCTCTAGTTTACACTCAGGTGGTCACACTGGCCACATATACGTTCTTCTTATGCAGAGTCATTGGCCAGCAGTGGATAGACAATCCGCATAGTCGCACCGCCGGCAATAGGATCGATCAGTACTTTCCCATAATGACAATTCTAGAGTTTTTCTTCTACATGGGCTGGCTGAAGGTAGCCGAGTCCTTGATTAATCCCTTTGGCGATGATGATGATGACTTCGAGGTAAATAACTGGACGCCTTAGCGCTTTGTATTAACAACTGGCTCGCAGCTCAATTGGATGATTGATCGTAATCTGACCGTTTCCTATTTGATTGTGGATGAAATGCATCAGGAGCATCCGGAGCTGCTCAAGGATCAGTACTGGGATGAAGTGTTTCCCAATGAGCTACCATATGCCGACGAGTCACAGCGGGCAGCACCACCGGAGCATTCCACGGCCAGATTGGTTCAATCGAAATCTGGGCGCAGTAACATACCAGTAAGATTGTTGGGGTCTTTACGGTTGTCTGTCAAGCTGTAAAAGCTAAACTTTGGTAGATTCTCTGAAGGTTCTAACGTGAACCAACTTTTGTAAGTACACGAGTTGCTTATCTAAGTCAAATCGAGGATTTGAGAGACATTTTCATAATTCCGTTCCCCGTTCACTTGGTATTCCAGAATCATAAAAAACTACTTAGTGTTGGGAAGCACTAGGGTCTGGTTTGCAGACAAGTAGAGTAAAGAGTAGAGATTTATTTAATTCGACATTATGCAGCTTTGCAAGCAACTGTGAATACCCTAATCATAATTAAGTCAGTCATTTGATAATACACGCAATATTACTGTCACTTTTAGTCTGTAAGGTCGTCTGAATCCTATAAGCCGGGAGCGGCGTATTTTATGCCACACTCGAGTGGTGTAACTACTCACACCAGTTCCATGAACTGGTCCACCTCAGGCATAACATTCGGCGACGATATCGGCGACTCGTTATTTAGACACAAACGTTTCGAGCGATCGAGACGCAGGCATGAATCCGACGAGAGACACAGCAGTACTAGTTGTAAGTGTTCAGTGAAACCCCACAGCTATCGAGTCTAAAGTCTATACGTGATGCCCGCAGTGAACTTTGAAGAGCTGATCGAGCAGCGCAACCGTGAGAGACGTGAAAGGTTGCGTCATCGTTTCCTCAATATGCGCAACAATCAGAGACCTTCTTCGACCGGACGTTATGTCGTTACGGTCTTACGTCCGCCATCGCCGCGTAGCAGTCAGCATTCCAATGCAGCGGAGGAGGTGGAGGAGGAGGAGGAGGAAGTGATGGAGCCAGAGACAGATGTGCCCAATAATAAGCCAGATAAATATGATTAAAATGTGGCAACAATTTTTGAGCATTTACTTACCAAATGGTCAACTATTAAAGAGCTTTTGGACGTTCAGAATATAAAATGGAATCAAAGTATTATTTATTGTATTCTGTATTTTTTGTTTTCCGTGATTCTCACACTGGGGCACAATCCTTGACACACTCGCTACTATTCACATTTCAGTGGCAAAAATTGTCACTGATGAGTTAATTTATAGTTTTTTTTTTTTTTTTTAATCAAGGGGAACTTTTGACTTATGACAAAAATAACAAGTGATGTGGCTCATTGTTTGCATTATCATATCCGAACATCTGAAAATCTGACACGACGCGTGTTGTTATTTTCTTCTTGTTTTTATTTTTTTGCACTTTTCCCGGCCTCAATGAAAACTCATAAAAACAGCAGCTGCTGCTGTGTACTGTGTGGGCGTATAGCTGGTAAATAAAAAATTAAATAAATTGCAATGACAGTCGCTATTTATGAAAGTTTCAAAATTATATTATTTTTAATGCGCGCTTGTAATGTGGTTGAATGCGGTTCGATTCAGTTCGCCATTTAACTCATTTGGGTGTTGACTTGGTTTTTTTTAAACTGTTTTTGTTGTTGCTGCTGCTTTTCACATTTTTGTATATTTATCTGCTCGTTGTTTTTTACGCCAATATACATACATATAACCGTGCCAATCAGTCAATTTTTAATAATTGCACGACGATGTGTACATTGTCAGTAGACCACAGGCAAAACGAGAAAAGATATTCCACAAAGAGATTTCCACAGCTGACTAAAAGATGCTCTAAGGAATAAAATATAAATATATATTTTAAATAATATAGAGACTGTTTATAGAACTCAAATGAAATGAAATGAAATATTTTGAGATGATTTTTAATGGACCTTCAAGAACTTCAAGTAGATCAAGTAGATCATTTCATCAACAAGATCATTTAATATTCTTTCTGTTTTAGTTATTATGTTTTATATAAAAATCGTGTTCTGGCTGTTACATATTTGGTCAGCGATTGCATATGCCCCAAACTTGGTCAGTTAATGGCTGTGAGGACATAAATATATTTCATATTTGCGCATCGCGTAGTTATGTTTTGTCCGTGTCACGTGGCTGTGCTGATTGATGACATGGTGGCCACTTGGCAACAAGCGATTGAGGACTGCACTTGCTGAAGGATGAGAATGTGTGTGCTGCTGGCGGTCCTGGTGCGCCAGGGGCGGCGACGGCGGCTGGTGTCAAACAAAAAAGGGGTTAATTTAATTTCGCGCACGAACGCATTTGTCCATAATTGGCAATTAGCACTGGCCATTGGCATAGCCGGCAACATGGCCTGCCAACATACATGCACACAACACACACACAACACTCACACACACAAATTGGCCAACTTACAGCGCGGTCTGCGTTTGCATTTTGCATTTGACCAGCGGCAACAAATATTTGCCCGTGTGTTCGTTTTATGGATCCTGAATCCTTGCACTGCTTGTTGCCTTTTTTGTGAGCGATTTTTAAAAAATTGTTCGAATTATTGAGGCGTTGAAACAATAATCATCGCCTCGCTCCTCCCCGCCTTGTTTCGCATTGCGCCGTATCGAATATTTATTGCCTGATTGCAGCTGCTGCTCTGCCACGTTAATTGCAACAGCCATGCAAAATAGGTTTAATACCAACTGTTTTTGGCTTGGGCTGGGGAAGGTATGTGCCCTTTGGGATGCGATTTTGAACTCATTTTTCACACAATTTTTCAAAGTCACTTTGGTAATTTGATGACACCTCTGGGAAGGCGCATTTGAACCGAGTAGATGCTAACTATTTGCTACCTTTGTGAACTTTCTCACAGGGGTTGCTTCGCTTTTGGCAGCGATATGCAACATGCTAGCTCGGAAAAAACTGAGAGAACTGAGAAATGCAGAATCTCTAGACATGCTCTTATTTGTCTGTTAAACAATTTTTCAAAATTGTTCAGTACTTAAACATATTTAATTAATATACTAGGATATCCTTAAAGTTATACATAATTAAAGTGTAATATGATTATTCTAAGAATTTATTATGAATTTCTGTTTATCTGCAGCAAATTTTGAACAACAGTTTTGAAAGCAGCGTGATAAAAATGTCAAGGATATACAAGGATATACTTGTCACATTGCTGACAAGTAGAGCTTTCCAAAGGTGAGTCCGTTTTTATTTCTTTGAGAAAATCAAATCAGTTTAGAGAGTCCCATTTCTGTTTGCTTCTAACTTAAATCTTAGATAAATCAGTTTAGAGTGCATTGGATTGTCCTTCCAAAGAAATTTAACCCCAAACAGGCCATGTACATGGTCGGTTTGTGAAAAGCGCATTAGTCGCTGGCAACGACACCGCCGGACATTATCGTAAGCATCTTTGACTTTTATCCCGGCTAATGCTAATGTCCTTTCGCTCCATCTCCACCTCTATCTCTGTCGCTGTCTCTGTCTCGGCTCTGCCTGCCTTTTTGGGCAGCCGATTTTGTTGTTACAAGGCTAATTATGTGACAGCCTATTAGCAACTCGATAAATATGTGCCCGGCGGAGAGTCGAGTGCAAATAGACCCATTCCGATGGAGCTATTTTCATTCTTCTTTTTTTTTCTGTCCAGCGAAAAGTTTGCTTTATGGCGCCTCCCCTTCACCTCGTGCACACCGCCCGTTCGTTTTGGGCCTCATTCATTAGATATGCGAACCCTGCTCCCGGGCTGATTATGACAAAGCACTTTTACCCAATTGGGTAAATTAGGTGGAAACTGAAAACTAAATGAAACGGAACTGGGCATACGCCCACTTTGCCCGGTCGAGCGGCAGTCGCTCTAATTTCGAGAGACAGAGAGAAAAAAATAACAAAAAAAAAGAAAATTCCATTGCCTCTCTGACGTGCTTTTTGCCGTGCAACATCAGAGCTTGGAACTGGAAACTCGGACCCGTAGCAATTATTCTGCATTAACAAAAGGGTTTAACATTTGGCGTTTTAGCCAGTTTCAAGCGAAGCGACGTCCGGCAACGTTTAACAACAACAAGCCGCACATTATGGGGCGCAGAAAGCAGAAGAAGGCGAAAGTGTGGTGAGGTGCGATGGGATGGGGATGGGGATGGGGATGAGGATATTTGTCCTGGGGGCTTGTATGCCTTGTAATTCATTCGTTACGTAGCGTTTGTGACTTTTTTTGCAGTTGTTGTGCGGTTGCAGCGACGACGATAAATTGTTGTAATTAATTTTTATTTAACTGTGAAAATGGAAACTTTTTTTGTGTAACATTTTCAGAATTGGCTTAAAATGTAAATTATTATTGCGGCCAGAGAATTCTGTGCGTCATGTTATGGAGGCAGGGGCAAAAGCCAGATGCGCATTGTGTGCGGATTTTGGTTCATGGAACGTGTGTTCTGTCTATTAATTAAGCTGTGTGCGTGTGCGTGTGCGTGTGTGAGTGTGTGGGTGTGCAGGGCCCCCTTCTGAGTTAGTGCCGTGGTGGGGGGTCTCGTGATGATGCTGCTGTACTGTAAGTGATAATTACAAGTTAGCAACTTTTACACTCAATTGTCACAATTAGAGGGCTGCAGTCAAGACGAGGCAGTGGCCCAAGAGTAATTACAATTACAAGCAGAGACAAACCAGCAAAACAAAATTGCAGTCGCAAGTTCTTTATTAGTTTTTGTGTGTTGTCAAGTGTTTTGGGCAGTTCGTTTGCACAAATTTATCAAACACAAACGCTTTTCTAATGCCCAGTCGCAGCCATAGTCAAGAATATTGTTTGGCCAACAAACTTTAACGTCTCAAATCCTTTAATTTAAAACAGCTAGATTTGCTTGCCTTTAGCTCTCGCTCTAGCTCGTTGACTCTTTCGCTCCCGCTGTCCAGTGCAAATATCGCTCTGTAATGTGGGCAAACTTTTGTCTAAGTATTACCAATAAAATTGATGGAGAAATAGTCAGAAACTATTTGGTCGTAGATAAAGAACTTTTTCCCCCTCAGAAAGTGTGGGGAAAAACAACAAATTCCAGCCAGCAATAGCTTGGTTTACTTATATTAAAATTCCCAAATAGCTAAAACAAAATCAAAAAAAAGTGCTCTTGTCGGATGTGTTCGACTAGGAATTACCCTGCAGCTTGCGAGGTGCTACAAACATTCTAGCTTTCTGTCCTATCGTCCGTGTTTCTTGTCTAACCTTAGGAAATTTACAGGGCTTAAATGTTGTACCCCAATATTTGTATGTACCAAATTACTAAAGGCTCTATCTTTAATAATATTATTTCCTATTTGATAATATTTGTATTCTTTACATACTAAGCGAGAACTTCTTAGCATGATCTCGATCTTGCTTACAATTTGAAGTTATATTTAAACCATGTGTAAGAAATAATTTTTGGAGATAGTTGGGATATGGGACGAGATATCGACAAGCTCCAGACGGTCAGACAGACAGACATAGCTTATTCCACTCAGCTAGCTATCCTGCTCAAGAATATATTTAATAAGAACTGAAGCCTTCTGTCTGTCACATACATTCGCATAAAAACATGATGCCCTTTTCACAAGTCTTCAATGAATTCAGGGTATAAAATGAAAGCTGAAGCGAGCTCAAGAAAAACAAGCGCAAAATGAGTGCAAGTGAACTAAAAGTGAAGCTAACTGAAAACTGAACTGAAAACGATTTTTGAGCAGCCAAAAAGGGGTTCAAATTTTAAGTAAGTGTTTGGCTTTAGCTCTGCAATGCCACAAAAGGGATCCAAAACTCCTTGCACACAACTTTATGCCAAACTCATGAGTTTCAAAGTGGGAAACTCCAAAGCATTGGAATGTTGCAGCAGCAGCAGCAGTGGATGAGGCAGGAACATGAGCTAAGGGCACAAAATGAATGAATAAATGAATGAATGGATAGCTGAATGAATGAGAGTTGGGAAACACTAAAGTTGCCCAACTAGAATGGAATTCATAATTGCTGCAGCTGAGCGGATTCCTATGCTTGAACGGAACGGTCAGCGCCAACAACTGAGCATTAAATATCTTATTTAATTTATATTAAAGAAATACTTTAATCGGCACTTTAAAGATATAA